TTCCCTCAGGAATGGTTCATCCTGGCTTTATTGAAGTGCATGGAGGAGGCTCCGTGTGAACTCTGCCTGTACTTTGCAAACCCACAAGCAGCCCAGGCAAGTGTATGGTGGTCCCCATTGTTGTTGCTCAGGAGGAGTGCAGAGAAAAGACCCAGGAGGAAAGGGACAGGGCTACTCCAAGGATGAAAGGGATCCCAGGCCGGCTCGTGCCCACTCCCTGCCCACTCAGCTCCCTGCATCGGTCACCTTGCACACCAACTCCAGCTGTGGCATTGATTTCTACACTTCAGAACCACAGTGTGTTTTGTTCCCTGTCCTGGGACGGCCTGACCCATGCTTGAGTCTCTAGCAGCGTCAACAAAGGGACAACAGGGGAGGAGGGAAGCGAGGAGTCAGTGCCCTCATTGCTAACTGACACTTGTTCCACTACCAGAGCGCAGGAAACAATGAGCACAGAGCATCAGCCAATCACAACAAAGCTTTATATACCATTACAAAAATAAAATCACCTGCCCTGGTTTCCAGGACAAAGGTGGAAGGGGGATGGGGGGCATGGTGTTAAGAGGATGGGATGGCGGAGTCAGTTGCTAGCCTGTCTGACAAACACATTGGGCCTGTGGTTCCTCCCCCAGCCGCTCCATGAAGACGTCAGCTTTGACACATCTGCAACCCATTTTCTCTGCATCAAGTCAGACCCCGAAGATCAAACCAGGGAGGTGTCCCCTCCACGGGTCAGCTTACTCTAACTCCTTCTCGGGAAGACACTCAGTCAAGGCAGCACAGTTGGCAGGAACTGAGCTGTCTCAGCAGGAAAGGGCTCTGGCCCAGCCAAGGGAGGGGACAAGAGGCTAACAGGGAAGGGGGAGGGAGAGGAGAGGGAGGGGAATGGAAGAACCTCCAGACTAAGTGGACACAGACTCTCAGGGAACACCCCTTCAAATCAGGATCATGCCTTAGGCTGGCACCCATCATGGACACCCCTCATGCACAGCCATGGACACTGAGCAGGGAAGTATAGCTCCTGAGTGTAATGTGGGATGATTTCCTAATACCTTTTCTCCCCTCACTGGTTCTGGATCCCATTCCTGAGAAACTGCTGTGACCTGTTGAGTCAGCCATGGCCTTTTCCTTCTGCACCAGCAGTGCAGGTGATGTGGCCAGGAAGGTGGGTGTAACAGGCCCACTCGTCAAGGATGGTCCTTGACTGTTGCAAGCTGTCCTTCCTGTTGCTGGGGAACTGGTAATGTGGCCGGGGGGGGGGGGGTGGATGGTGCCCATGCACATGGAGGTAGACAGCAGCCCTATTTCCTGCCTGAGGGCCAGCCTCAAGGCTCTCATGTCCAAAAGCTTGGAAGAGTTCTGACTGTCACAGATGGGGCTGACAAAGTCCTGGCCTCAGTCCTGGCACACAGCTGGCTCATGCGCACATGCGAGGGGCAGGTAACTAAGCAACCAACTCCTGGAAAGTGGTGTCAGCATTTGCGGTTTTATTTCTCCTCTTGCAATCTGGTTGTCAGCTCTCAAAGCCATTCCGTATAGAATTCTGTCTCCTATGGTTCTGGCAGAGTGGTTCCATCGCAGACGACCAAAGGCTGCGCTCCTCTGGCTACAATGTAGACCTTCCAGTGAGAGGCGCTGGCATAGCCTGGAGGGGAAATAACAACAGGGGCAGGGGACAGTATGAGAGGCGTCAGGGTCTGGACATGCCAGCAGGTGAGAGCCAGGTGGGGCTGCCAGGGGTGAGCCAGGTGGGGCTCACAGGTATACCCTGTAGCCAAAGTTAAAGGCAGTTCTTGTTCTGAAAGGGTTCTAGCTTGTGTTACCCCATGGCTGTCAGTTTCCTCTGACGCAGGACACCCAACAACAGCTGCTCTAAATGGGGATACCTCACTGCCTCCTCTCACCAGGGCAACTAGTGGAATGCTCTGAGTGAGGTAAGCGTCAGCCTTTTCAGCAACAAGACAGGGGGACAAGATCCTGCAGCCAACTCCCCTGAGGTTCTGGGAAATATGGTTTCACTCCAGAACGACCAGATTCTGGACCAGCATTTCCCAAGTTTGGTTCTGGAAATGCCATTGTCCTGTTTGAAATTACAGAGAAAATGGGTTCCATGCTAAGTAAGTTTCAGAGGCTCTGGGTTCCTGTGAGATGTTCTGGAGCTTGGGGCATACTAAGCGGCAACCAGCCAGGCATCTCCTGAAGGCAACTGCCTCAAGCCCTACAAGCCAAGACCCTGGCAGCCCGGATGCCTGCTCCCTGTTAGCCAAGGCCCTGGCAGCCCGGATGCTTGCTCCCTGCTAGCCAAGGCCCTGGCAGCCCGGATGCCTGCTCCCTGCTACCCAAGGCCCTGGCAGCCCGGATGGTTGCTCCCTGCTACCCAAGGCCCTGGCAGCCTGGATGCCTGCTTCCTGCTACCCAAGGTCCTGGCAGCCTGGATGCCTGCTCCCTGTTACCCAAGGTCCTGACAGCCTGGATGCCTGCTTCCTACAGCAGAGAGCCTGGGTTTGGTGCTTGGCTCAGCTCCTAACTCTAGTTTCATTCTAATGTACACCCTGGGAGACAGCAGAGGAGGCTCCAGGAGTTGGGGATCTCTGAAATCCTGACTCCCAGGTTTGGCCTGGCCTACCCTGGGGCACATGGGGAGTCAACTAGCACATAGCTCTGTCTCTGTGTCTCTCTCTGACAAATGAATAACGTACCAGGGCTGCCCACTTGGTACAACCACTGAAGACTCTTCTCCCTTGCTGGAGTCTAATTTTCTATGTCCTTATCTAACTGGGGCAGCCGCACAGCCATCACTTCCCTTCCTACTGCAGCTCCAGGCGCCTGTTGTTCTCCCAACCTCACCCTTCCCCCATTCTTCTCCTGGTCTTGCTCTCCTCTCTGTCACCCCTCTCTCTCTCCCACCGTCATGCAGCTGGCCTCTCACAGACACTGCCAGCCACGGGGCTGCTTTCCCTCTGGCCGGCGTGTTGATTAGTCACAGCCCAGCAGAGACCGTGCCCTGGACTTGGGGCTACTTTAGACCAGCTGCACCAGCGTTTGATCTCCACAGTTTCCCTGTCCACTGTCAGATATATTTGTTTTTTTTTTTTTTTTAAGATTTATCCATTTTTATTGGAACATCAGATTTGCAGAGAGAAAGAGACACAGAAAGATCTTCTGTCTGCTGGTTCACTCCCCAAGTAGCCACAACCACTGGAGCTGAGCTGATCTGAAGCCAGGAGCCAGGAGCTCCTTCCAGGTCTCCCACATGGGTACAGGGTCCCAAGGCTTTAGGCCATCCTCTATTGCTTTCCAAGGCCACAAGTAGGGAGCTGGATGGCAAGTGGAACAGCCAGGAACCGGTGCCCAAATGGGATCCCGGTGCATATAAGGCAAGGATTTAGCCACTAGGCTATCGGTGCTGGGTCCTACATTTGCCTTCTGTTCTTAATTCTGCGTTTGGTATCCTGGCTCAGTGGGAACTGGAAACCTGGAAATTGGCTAATGGTATCTCCACACTTGTCTGAACTGTTAGGCGCGTGAGAACTTGGGACAGTAACTTGTTGAAGCACTACCCCACACTCCAAACCCAGACATATCACACAGAGTGTTGCAATAGTCATCCCTCATGTAAAGGTCATTCCACTGCAGGAAAACAGGTTTAGACTAATTTCTAACACAAGAATCCAATTTGGGGGGGGGAAGAGTTTCCCAAGGGCCAGCCCAGCTGCACTCCATTACGAGGGAACACTTAATCTGTGCATTATTTTTATTTCCGTTTCTAAACTGAAATCAAAGTTATGTAACTTGGATAACAGCTTGGCATAGTTTGCAGTCTGCTCCATACACCCATTTGTGGTCACAAGTTTCAGGGGATCTAGGGGTCTTCTGAAAGGATGAAACTTAAAGCAATCCATCGGAAAACCCATCTGGGTTCTCCCTAGTCTCCAGGCCCTGCCCAGGTGTCACATGGAAGAAAAACCAAGGAACCAGGAGGCTGGTGTGACACTTGTTGACTTAGGAGTATCTGCTTCTGCCAGGACAACCCTGCTGCGGACAGTGGGTGTGGCAGAACTAGTTCTCTGGAACAGTAAGGAACAGGACAAGTGACATTTGGAACAACACAGGGCCAGAGTCAAGGATGAGTTGTCAATGTGAAGCCCCGACCTGGCCCCGGGTCACATATCCAAGGTAACGCTTCCTGGGGGACCACTGCTCCAACATCCTGCTTTGCTTGCTTTCATTTGTGAAATGGGCACATAAAGGGTCTCCTCTAATCTTGAACATTCCTCCCCTGGATTGGCCATGTTCAAGCACTTTACAGACTTGGCATACACACTGCCTGACGGTGGGGCAGGGGTGGTGGTTACTTCTTTCTGGGTCTCAGCCTCATCTGTAAAATGAGGGATTGGTTAAACATTTTGCAGAATTCCTTCTGAGTAAGTCTGTCTGACCAATAGATTTATGTGTTCTAAATGCTCTTAGGTATGAGACATTTTTCTCTGCTATATTTTCTCACTAGCTGTTCCATCTTTGAGTATAAACAATGACACCATTAAAAAAAGAACATTATTTTGGACTTTACTCAATAGAATCTTCGAGAAGGCATATTTTTCTTAGAATACTTTCTGAAAACTAAAATAATTCAAGCCCACTGTTGTGGTGAAGTGGGTTAGGCTGCCACTTGTGAAGCCAGCATCCCACCAGAGCACCAGGTGGGATTTGAGTCCTAGCTATTCCACTTCTGATTCAGCTTTCTACTAATGAGCCTGGGAAAGCAGAAGAAGATGCTCCCAGTCTGTGGACTCTGCAATCCATGTGGGAGACCTGAAGGGAGTTCTTGGCTCCTAGCTTTGGCTTGGCCCAGCCAGCCACTGCAGCATTTGAGCAGCAGATCCACTGGTCAGAAGATGTCTCCCTTTCTCTGTAATTCTGCCTTTCAAATAAATAAATAAATAAATGTGAAAATGGACACGACCCCATTGCTGATTCTGCCCTCCTGGGGCCTTACATACCGATATCCCCCGCCTCTATTGGCATGGCCACGGACTGACAGTGTCTTCGGCAATGGAAGGGAGGGATGAGCTGCAACATGGCCTCCCCACTGCCCACGGTGAACAGGTCATGCATCCTGTGCATCTAGAGGAGAAAGCAGGGAGACAAAGGAATGAAAAGAGAACAAAACAAACTCCTGGAAAATGAGCCTACCAAAGTTTGTGCACACATGGCGCTCAGTTTCCCAGCAGCCTAAGTAAAGAGGAAAAGTAGGAGTAATGACAACATTCACAATTATGCCAGAAAATGAAAAGACACTAGTTTTTCCTAATCCTGGCATGCCCTAATACTGAGGCTATAGCGACAGCTCTTCCACTGGTTCTCCTAACGAGACATTGGCAATTCAGTGGGCAGCCCACAGGAGCTTTCTAATTTGTGACTACTTTTAGCTGCAGCTTCAGAGTGGGCCAAAGGTAAAAGACCTAAATGTAATTTAAAATATATATATATATTGTAAATTCTGTTTATTCAAAAGGCAGAGTGATAGAGAAAGAGATTTTCTATCAGCAGGTTCACTCCCCAAATGCCTGCAACAGCCAGGCAGGGGTAGGACAGCCCGAAGCTACAAACTAGGAATTCCACCTGGGTCTCCCACATGGATGGCAGGAACTCGTACATGAGGCATCATCTGCTGCCTCTCAGGCACATTGGTAGGAAGCTGGATCACAACTGGAGGCAGAGGCAGGACTTAATCCTAGGCACTGCCATAGAGGATATGGGCATCCCAGGCGGTGGCTTAACCTACTGTTCCACAACACCCACCCCTTCCCCTTCAGTGCAATTAAAAATGTTTCTGGAAAAAGGCCAACAAACACGTGGTGGTCTAAGTAAAGAATCTTTAAGGGTCTTGTTTGTTCTGGATTGTTTTGGATGAACAGATGGTTGGCTTACTACCCTTCGGACAATGTTTTATACAGTAGTATTTCTTTCCACCAGGGCCCTAATAAGAACTACACAGCAGCAAGCTTAAGTTCACACTGTTTGGCAAGACCGATTTGAACAGATATGTAATGTGGCTGATTAAAAACAAGCTGGGTTCAAGGCCTGGTTCCACTTCTGTCTCCAGCTTCCTGCTAACATGCGCAAGTACTTGGATTCCTGCCGCTCACACGAGAGACTGAGGTTGAGTTCCAGACTCCTGGCTTGGGCATGATCCAGCGCTGGTTGTTGTGGGCATCTGAGGAGTAAAAATGGCAGATAAGGGCCTGGTGCAATGGCTCAATGGTTAAATCCTTGCCTTGCAAGCACAGGAATCTCACATGAATGCCAGTTAATGTTCCAGCTATTCCACTTGCCATCCAGGGTAACTGCATGGTCTGGGAAAGCCCCAAAGCCTTGGGATCCTGCACCCATGCGGGTGACCTGGAAGAAGCTCCTGGTTCCTGGCTTCAAACTGGCTTCACTCTGGCTGCTGTGGCCATTTAGGGAGTAAATGAGCAGATGAAAATCTTCCTCTGTCTCTTCTTCTCTCTGTAAATCTGATCTGCTTTTCCAATAAAAATAAGAAATATTAAGGAAAAAAAACCCAGCAGATAGATCTTTCTCATTTATTCATATGGATATATAATCAAGACGCTTTAAAAGAGGAACACTAAAGATTACAAAAGGACCATGTCTTAATGAGAAAAATAAAGAAAGGAAAAATGAGCGACAGTAAGACTGGCCTCTGATTTTGAATACTAAGCACAGCCAGCTAGGGTAACTTGTGCACTTTTTTTTTTTTCAGTTTTAAAGTAAGATTTATTAGAAAAAGTTGAGAAAGGAGACTCCCGTCTTAGTGACGGGAGGGAGCTTTGAAATAGGAGGGACCCTTACCCCCTGCCATAGTGGCAGGAGCAAAAGTGAAAAGAGACCCTAATCCTCTGCCATAGTGGCAGGAGGACAAGAATAACCCCAACTTGTGCACTTTTGAGCACACACTACAGCCAGCAACAGATTCTGTGCAATCCCCTGGGTACCAGGCAAGGAGCCGCAGACTCTGGGTCTGAGACGGCGAAGAGCAGGGAGCAGCAGTCAACGGGGAGGGGGGTCTGGCTTGGATTTTTCTTCCTTCCTTGAGCCTTTTCTCCAAGCTCCCAGTACCCTAGCTTCCCCTCCTTGCTCCTTTCCTCCAGGGAGAGCCAGATACAATGGGGACCAGCCAGAAGTCTGATTTCCTGGGCCACGTCCTGACTGTCATTCAGGGCCTTGGGTTTGGCCCCATCTTCCCTGTCCACACCTAGGCTGTGATTCTGATTCCAGAGTGACACATTTCATGGCTACTCTGATAACAGGAGTGGGGTGTGTTTGTGTGTCTTAAGCTGCTTATAATTGACTGGTAACTAACGCCAGCAGAAGCCCTGGATAACTTCAGTCTTAACAGAATTTCCAGGAACCCCACAAAAAAGTGCAGGTGTGCTTCTTCCACAGGGCTTGAGTGAGGGCACGATCATGAACTTGCACATCTAAGATGGAAAGACAACAGGAGGGTGTGGGCCAGGCTTAGGCAGCGCTGTGGAGAGGGGGATGTGGGCCCTGGCAACGCTCACCTCTTCTTCCCCTCAGTATGCCGCTGAACAACTCAATGGATCCCTGCTTTGTGCGATTCCAAGACTGAGACCACAGCCAAGTGACTCTACTAGGGCTCGGGGCCCAGAGATGTGGATAACAGGGTGGGGTAACAGGGCCCGGAGAGAGGCGAGCTTGGGCCAGGGTGGGGAGACAAATGCTTTAAGACACCAGACTCTCAGGATTGTTCCTCATTTGGGCTACTCCCCTTCCCAAAACATCCTGGAGCACACAGGGAGATGACTTGATAAGCGCCTGTGTAACTCTGCATCGACTCCTTTGGCTGGGCTCCTCTGGTTGAGCAGGCTGGTGAAATGAACTTGTGTCTTCCAGCAAGCAAACTGAGATAAAGGCCCTCGCCCAGAATTAAATCATAATTGTGAAGATGAAATCACACGAGGGGGCTGGGTTCTAGCCATGGAGAATAGGAGAAATGTCTTCAAAATCGGAGGCGAGAGTCCAGCACCTCCACCCCGCTGCTGGCAGACAGGAGTCATTCCTCCTGGACGAAATGACTGTTTTTATGGTTTTTAAATTCCAGCCACGCAATTCAGCAAATTGGGAGCCAAATAATAGTATCAGAGGTTGACACTACAACCTTGAGCTGGTTAGGGGAGCCACAGTATGGGAAATTTTCTTTCTTTTTTTTTTTTCAAAAGGAGATTCATCTTTTTTAATTCCTTCAAATCCATCTAGTTTCAAGAATTTTCCTTAGGAAAGAAGCTCCACGAGGGAGCCGGTCAGAGCAAGGTAAATGGACATCAACTCTCCAGCCCACTGGGCCCAGAGGTACATGAGGGTTCTGGGCCTGTGGCTGTGGCCCCAAATAGAGGTGGGGTTGGGAAAGGCGAGGGGCAGAGGGGTGCCTGCTCCAAGCCGTGCCTCTCAAACCCTGCACTGGCAGCCAGTTTTGGCCAGTTCTCCACTGAAGCTTTTTATTATTATCACTGGGCAAAGTCAACCTGGGGCTGAGAGATGAGGCAAACCTCATTAGCTCCCTATTTGACCTTGGGCTAAACCCCTCTGTGGCCTTGGTTTCCTGATCTACAAAATGAGGAAGGTGAGCTGTTCATCTACACACTGCTTGTTTATGGTAGATCTACTCTCTAGTCTAAGGTGGATGAATTCAAGTCACTTGCAATGCTAGGATTCAACTTCCTTTAATGCAGAATAGCAGCCTGCCCCCAGATCTGCAAAATCTCTGAGAGACCTGCCAGAAACACGCTTCTTGCTTCTTCCCACGTCTCCTAGCTGGCCACAGGAGGGGAAACCTTAAGTTATGTGATTGTCTCCTTAATTCATCCTTAATTGTGGCCTTATGAGAAACATTCTAGATCCAGATCCTCTCAAAATCCCTTACCTTACTCCCCGTAACAGGTTCAGGGTGAAGAAGAAAACATTTTTTTAAGGAGGCATCTTTTGGAAATGGCAGGTGTTTGAAAACAGGAAAAAGCTCATGCAAAACTTGTGATGTGTTCAGCGGACTTCTCCTGTTAAAAAAGTTTGAAGCAAAGAAAAGTTAATCAACTGGACAAGCCAGCCCCTCTCTGAGACCAACAGGATGGGGAAGCTGTGGGCGGGGGTTAAGATGGGGGGAAACAGCAGCAGGATGTCTAAAGGTCTGGGTTCAGAAAAACAGTCCCAGACAAGGCAGTGAACTGTACGGCCCACTCCCACAAACCCTACAGCCACCATGTGCCTGGGTGGGCGGGTGTTTATAAAGTCCAGCTAAACCAACATATAGAGGAAGGAAAGAAACAATCTATTCATCGTATCTTGGAAGAGAGACCTGAGTAACAGCAGACCAGGCGGGGGGAGGAGAGGAGGGAGGAGGAGCAGACAATAAGCCATGACCTTCTTTAGGAGAAGACGATGTCCTGCAGGGGAGGGGAGGAGCGTGATTGCTGTGCAAGTGGGCTTTCAGTCTTGGGGATGAACAGAAAGATGGGGGCATCACAAAATGCTGCCAGCAAAAGCTTGAGAGCCATCTTAGATTTCTGCAAGAGCTCTAAAATGGAGGAGCGTGGTTTCCCCATTCTTATAAGGGCAACTTTTTTTTTTAAAAGATTTATTTTTATTATTTTTTTATTGGAAAGGCGGATATACAGAGAGGAGAGACAGAGAGGAAGATCTTCCGTCCGATGATTCACTCCCCAAGTGAGCGCAACGGGCCGATACTATGCCGATCCGAAGCCAGGAGCCTCTTCCAGGTCTCCCACGCGGGTGCAGGGTCCCAAAGCTTTGGGCCATCCTCAATTGCTTTCACAGGCCACAGGCAGGGAGCTGGAAGGGAAGTGGGGCTGCCGGGATTAGAACCGGCGCCCATATGGGATCCCGGGTGTGCAAGGCGAGGACCTTTAACCACTTGCGCCACCGCGCCGGGCCCAAGGGCAACTTTTTTTTAAGATTTATTTTTATTGGAAAGGCAGGTTTACAGAGAGAAGGAAAGACAGAGATTCTCCATCTGCTGATTCACATCCCAAATGGCTGCAATAGCTGGATTGAGCCAATGTTATCCAAAGCCGGGAGCTTCCTCTGGGTTGCCCACATGGGTGTAGGGTCCCAAGGTTCTGGGCCATTTTTTACTACTTTCCTGGGACACAAGCAGGGACCTGGATGGGACTGGGGCAGCCAGGACATGAACCGGAGCCCATATGGGATCCCGGTGCTTGCAGGTGGAGGATCAGCCAATGAGCCATCATGTCAGGGCCTTTGTTAGGGGAGCCATAAGCCCAGGACTGAAGGATGTCTTCTGTAGAGCTCAGGAAGAACAGAAACACTGAGCTCCGTCCTAAGCCTGGCTGGCTGTCCCCAGGCACCTTACTTCACCTCTCTGGTTCCCTCATTTCTGATGTTAAAAACGACAATGGGAACTCCTACTTCCCAGGCTATCATGAGTGTGCCGCCAGCACAGACAAGTCAGATACACAGTCCCGGCATTCTCTGTGCCATCTTCAGCCCTCGGTGCTCAGCATGGATGCCTGGTGCGCAAATGCAAATGCCAACACACAAGCCTAAGTGGCCCGCCACTGGGCCAGCGTTTCCACTCGAGGGCACCCCCACTTCTGACACACCTTTTCCATCCTTCCCTTTCCCCCTCTGGCAGATTTATCAGGGAGCACGTCTCACTGACTTGAGGATACGTCACCATATGCTTATAGTGTTATGGGGTGCAGCCATTGATGGCTCGTACCTGCTTGACAGTGGATAGGACATGGAAACAGTTTCCACACCCACCCTTTCTACCTCCTCTCACACCATTCAAGTTCATGGAAGGGGCAAAAAATGCACCCCGCCCCTCCTGCCCTGCACACCATTCACAACAACTGACAGCACAGAAATTACTCCAGAGGCTCCACAAACCAGGCCCCTCCTTCCTGCTGATATACTAGATTAGGGTAACTACAGGAAAACTTTGGGCTTTGGTAACTTCTTTCCTGCCTGAAACTTTGTACTGCATAGTTCTCAATCTGATTGGAGGATGAGAGCTTAAAAACCCTTGACTTTTGCCACCGGGCACAGTGGCTCCTGGAGTGCAGCGGGAGCTGCTGTCAGCAAGCTTGGGAAGTAAACACTCGTCCTAACATCCTACACCTGGGTCCAGTGTGAGCACTCTTGCACTCCACAACAACAGGCCCAGGCATGTCTTTGGGGAGAAGGGAGGTCTCAGTGCCACTGTCACTGTTCTGATATCTGGTCCCCACCCTCTCACATATGCACTCACCAGGGATATGGGAATGGGAACCAGCGCTCTGGGAAGCAGCGCCACCACTTGGTAAAAAACCCTTCTGCGAAGCCTTCCATGGCCTCCGGGTATTGGCATGAGATGTGCTGGATCTCTTCAGGTGACAGGGGTTGTGCCGTCTGGGGTAGGCAGAAAACAAAGCGAAACAAGACAACAGGGTGTTATTCAGTAGAACTTCAGGGTTTGCTCAGTGAGAGAAGCAAGTTTCACCTTACCTTGATCACCAGAGGATGCAGCCTCTCAAATTTCTGTGGGGCATCCCCCAGGAGCACGACCTGGAGAGGTAACTTCTGGGTGCAGCCGGTGCAGTTGGCGGGGATAGGGTCTGACTCATTTTGCTCACAGCTGTTGGTCCACCAGGGGTCAACGTCTGAGGGAGGATGGGCTGTGGGGAAGCCGACACAGGAAGAACACAACTAATTAAATCCAGTGGCCCCATGCGGCAGGGAAAATAGACAGCAAGAGGCATCCCAACACCTGTCAAAGCCAACTCCCGCCAGCATCGGAGCTTTCTGAAAAGGGGCCTTTGTGACCAGGGGCCTCAGCTGGGAAGCGCCAGGCCAAGGGGACAGATGTGGGACAGAGAAGTGTTTCTTTCTGTGTAACTCTCCATATATTGCAGAAAGTACCTTGTAACCTTCCTTAATCACCAACAGTACACAAGTGTACCAGTCGGAAGAAAATACTCAGCCATGCTTTTTGATGGCTGCTGCAGGTGCAGGAGGGATGCTGGGTTTACTTCAGACCCGACATGTCAACCCCCATCCCATCTAGCACCCAGCCTCAGCCAGGAACTGGAAAGGGCTGTAAGATCAGACACATCATTGGACAAGCAAGGCTCCAGCCTGCCAATGACGAGCCTAGGCTGACATTCCTTACCTAACTAGGACTTGAACAGAGCCTGTGCCAGTTTCCATGTTGGAAGGAGTATAAAACCTCCTTCATGTCCCCTCTGCCTGCCTTTGTTCCCTTGCAGCTCCCCAGTCCTCCTCTCTCCTTCCTCTTTCTGACTGCTGTGCTGCGCAGGGTAAAGGCCGGAGGGCAGATCCCAAATCAAAGCCTCTGTGCATCTCTTTTACAACCGGCTGATGTTTTCTTTTCATGGGTGGTTGGCAAACCTGACACTTTTCTCAAGGCTTCTGACCCTGGGACACATCTTCAGCATGCAGGCGGGTGGGGGGGTAGGGGAGTTGGCGGGGTGGAGGGACAGATGGAAAGAGCATCCCCCAGTCACTGAGGTGCATCCTATTGCACACACAGTGTGCCTGGACCTCAGTTCTTAAGAACAAGGACGGGGCCAGGGTGACTCTGGGAAGGATGGCTGAGAAGAGCACAGAGAGGGCAGACAGGAGTTTGGGGGCCATTCCTGGAACAAACACACATGCACCTGCCTATAAGACAGCGGCTCTTCTGCCCACAGCTTAAAAGGGGAAGGAGTTACTAACCACTGCTTCCACCCCTGGGGAAGGAGCACAGCAGGTCAGGGAAAAAAAGAGCCAGTGAATGCAGCTCCCTGTGCCTTTCCAAGTTTCTCGGGTTCTTCCCTTCCCGTTTGTTACGGCATTACTTCCTGTTTACTTTCTGTTTCATTCTGGGCCTCATCTGTGTTCTGTCAGATGTGTTTGTTCTAAACTCGAACTTGAATCCAAATGTTTCACAAGATGATTCTGATTAAACCCCAATGGAAACCAGTCAGGAGGACAGAGAACAGCCAACGAGCAATCAAACATGCCTGCAATGAATTCCCTTCTTTAAACAAATCAACACATTTGGAAAACGATGCTTAGCCACAAATCACTTTCTGCGGCCAGTGGTAAACACTACTCGTGTTTTCTTTACCGTTGTAGTAGTGGGGTATGGGAGAAGCTCACTGGGGGAAGGACAGTGGCTCATCTCCCCAGCATCCTCTCTCTCTCTCGCAGATGCTTTAACTGGGTGTCCTTGCTGGTAGCTGCCCCCACCCTTCTCAGCCAACCTTCACCTCAGGGAGATGACTACCCAGAAGTTGACTGCTGCACCCATAGGGCTCCCCAGGAACAGTCCAAAAACCCTTCTAGGCTACCCGTCGGAGTAGCATAGGTTTCTTTCTTTCTTTTTTTTTTTTCCTTTCTGGAATATTATCAACTATTTTATATTGGGGGTCAAAGTTGGTGAATTCTTGCCAAAGTACAAAAGCTCTGGGTAGCACACATATAGTGTGTCAGAAACAATCCTAGCAGATGGCAAGTAGACAGCATTTCAGTTTCCATTTTCAGCTGTGAGAGGAAATGAATGCATGGAGGGCCAGGCCTGATCCTGATCAATTTCACATGTGACCACATTTCATTTTCACCATGTAACTACCAGAGAGGAGCATTGCAGGTTAAGATGCCACTTGGGGCACCTGCACCGCTTATCAAAGCATCTGTGAGTGACTCTTTGTGCCCTGTTCCAGCTTCCTATCCAAATGCATGTAGCACAGTGGAAAGTGATGGTGCCACTCAAGTGAGACAGATTGAGTGCCTAGCTCTGGTTTAGGCCTGGCCCACCTAAGGCTGTTGGCAGTCATTTGGGGAGTGAATCAGATGATAGATGATAATAAATAATCTTTTAAAAAATTATTCAAGCAGAAGGTAGGCTCTAGAAAAACCCCTGATGGAAGTAGAGGCATGATGACCAGGCTGCTGGCCAGCAAGGAAGGAGAAGAGGAGGAAAAAGGATCCGCCAAGTGGGATAGCCTATGCCATCCATCTGAGTTACGGGACACCAAAATTCTAGAAGAAGGGCTACCTTTGATTTATCTGTAGCCTGGAGCTCACCATGGACAAAGAATGTATTTGCTTGGGTGGGAAGGGACCAAAGGACGGGAAGGCAGTGAGTCATGTTGGGGGCATGTCGCTGGCTCCTTCCCTATTCTTGCAGAAGGAAAGAGACGTGGCCAGACTCCAGCTTACAGAGCTTTTGTCTGATGCGTTCTCTGAACAGCAGGCTGTACCCCCATGCCACAAAGTGAGTGAGAAAGCCTGGAAAATAGCCCGAGGCAGACAGCCACCTTAGCCCAGGGGACCCAGGTCATGTCCCAAACCTCACCTCCTCTCAGCTCTGTTTCTAGCTACCTTGCTGCTGCTCCAGAGAAAGAGCGCCAGTGGAAGTTACACAGCAGATTCTGGTCTTTCAATTTCCAAGGTTGCTTTACTCCACATGTCCTCCTACACCAGTTATTTTAAGTTGAAATAATACAAATAAAAACAGTATGACAGAGAAGAGAAATTCTGTGTCTAAGAGTTCAACATAACCTGTGGCCTGTAGCCTTGAATTCTCACCATGATGGGGAATCATTGCACTGCTTGAGATGTCAAAGTCAGTCTCAGATAAAACATGGCCTTGAAGGTGCAGCAGCTAGAGCCCCCACCCCCGCCCCACCAGCACCAGCTAGGCTCTGCAGGAAAGTGGGTGAGGCCAATGTTTGAGCCTCAGGAAGCTATGTGGCAGACATTCCAAGTGGGAGAGAATTCTCAGTTGGAGGGTCCTCCCATACAGATAGTAACCTGAAAGAAAGCAGGAAAAAAAAATTTCTTCTGAGGACAAAAACCTCCCTCTGGGTAAAAAGGAAGGGGAAGAAGAACAAATGGCACAAGGCCAATGGTGGCACTCCCAGAGCAGGAAGCCTCTTTGGTTTGCTTGTTGCTGGATTCTGAATGTGGCCTGTCACATAGTAGGCTCTCTACAACAACAGGGGGTCACAACTTTCAACAACAGGATTAAGTCCCGAAGGAAGAAAATCAAACAAGTAGCATGTATTCCCAGCAACCTCAAAAGGGAGATGAGATGCACAGAACTCCTTATTTTTTAATAGGTTTTTAATTTTGAAATCTACTCAAGAAAAGGCTGTGCCAATATAGGACAAAGCTCCCATGATCTGCCCTGGGGTGCCCTGCCGTGGAACCCTCTCCAGGAAATCCTTTTAGGAGGTGTCTCTTCTTGCACCCCAACACAAGGCAGAGGCAAAGCCTTGGGGATGAAGGTGCCTCTGCCAGGTCCTCTTCATGGGTGGCAATGTACACCAAGAACCATTTGCACACACTGTTAAAGAGGGAAGGGCCTCAAGAAACCATTTCGCCAACAGCTTGGGCAATGCACTTGAGAGACTTCCAAACCACAGACTCCTTCTGTTTCCATGGGTTCTCACTTGCATAAAACCTGTCTCTACATAGGAGACTTTGGGCAAGTTAGTTAATACTCTTGGCATATCAGTTTCTTCAACTTGGAAAAGGAAAGAAAAGTACAAACTACAAAGTGTCTGTTGTGCAGACTGAGAAATGAATGTAGAGTGGATGGCCTGGCATCTGGTCTAGAAGAAGTGCTGACGGGGCTGTTTTTGCAAACCGATGAGGAGGGCATTTCCCAGGGCCCAAACATTTCATTTTTGAATACAGGCCTAGATTTTTTAAAATCTGGGTAGGTCCTTTGTTCTAAGTCAGCGAATCATGTGCTGGTCGCAGGCTCCCTGGGACCATTGCTGGGTCCACTTGGCCTCTCAGTGAAAGCTCCCACCTGTACAAAGCTCTCACTGCGCCATGGGATAGAGGTCCACCCTTCTCAATGAGCCTGAGAAACTGCCAGCTGCCTCAATACACTCAGGGAAGGAATCAAAAGAACCAGGTTGAATGTGCTGGAACCTGACCTGGCAGGGGGCAGAGAAGGCAGGGATGAGTGTGGGCAGTGGAGAAAACACCAGAAATCAGAGATTGGAGGTCAAGGGCTAGACAGCCACTCTCAGCTGGATACCACCCCTGGCCCTGATGTCCTCTTCTATACACTGGAAGCCTATACCACATTAACTCTCAAGTTCCTTTTCAGCTTTGACATGCAGTAGGTTGGTAGAAATGATGAAAGCCAGATGAATTGGATGGCAGGGGCAAGGTAGATACAAAAATATGAGATTGAGAGGGAAGCAAAAGAATTGAAAATGCCAATGTGATGGGCAAACTATGAGTTAATAAGAGAAAGGCTTAAGTCATGAGGATACAGACTAGGAATATGAGCTTGGCTAAATGCTTCGTGGAAGGTAACCTCAGGGAAATTATAGAACCAACAGCCTAAAGAACATTTACCCTTAGAACTAGAGTATCAATTATACCAGTTAGAAAGAACCTTGTTTCTTCAGGGACTAGGCAGCTAAGAGGGAAAATACCCAAATTATAAATAAGTGTCAGATTATTTACTTTTATTTACTTTCCTGCTGCACAGTAAGCGTATAAAACCACTATTATCTTCATCCAAAAAGTTGAGGGGCAGGATTCCCTAAGGCTGCAATAACAACAACCAAAAAAGGAACTCACTGCTATTTGCCTTCTTGCTCTTCAAGTGTGGTCAGGAAATCTCCCAGCACAGGCAGCAGTGCCTCTCAGGCCCCTCACACATGCTCCAGGTCCTATGGGCTTGCTACCATTCCCAAGACACCACCACAGACCCTGAAGATGATGAGGGGGCTCCCAAGCTGGCACCAGGAAGACAAAGGCCTGTGGGGGCTTGTGCTGGAGAACTGCTGTGCCATTCTCCCCGTGTTTACCTCCCCCCCCCCAGTTTATTTATTTATTTATTGGAAAGTCAGATATACAGAGAGGAGGAGAGACAGAGCGAAAGATCTTCCATCTATTGATTCACTTCCCAAGTGACTGCAATGGCCAGAGCTGAGCTGATCCAAAGCCAAGAACCAGGAGACACTTCTGGGTCTTCCACACAGGTTCAGGGTCCCAAGGCTTTGGGCTGTGCTTGATTCCTTTTCCAGGCCACAAGTGGGGAGCTGGATGGGAGGCAGAGCCTGCCAATATTAGACTGGCACCCATAAGGGATCCTCCCATGTGCAAAGAGAGGACTTCAGCTGCTAGGCTATTATGCTGCCTCCCCCCTTCCCCCAGTGTTTATCTTACAGGCACTGCTCATCTAGCCTAACATGAAGGCAACAAGTTTTTGGTATCAAAGACATTAAGAATGTTATACTTTGGGCCCGGCGTTATCGGCGTGATGGCTCAATAGCTACATCACCACCTTGCAAGCCCTGGAATCCTATCTGGGTGCCGCTTCATGTCCTGGCTGCTCCACTTCCCATCCAGCTCCTGCTTATGATCAAAAGTCTTTGGACCCTGCATCTGCATGACAGATCCCGGCTTCGGATCAGCTTACCTCTGGGTGTCACAGCCACTTGGGGAGGAAGCCGGCAGACGGATCTTTCTTTCTGTCTCTCCTTCTCTCTGTAACTCTGTTGTCCAATAAAAATAAGTAATTTTTAAAGGAATGCTATCATTTTACTTTTTATGTGGCTGGTGCCATGACTCAATGGACTAATCCTCAACCTTTAACCTCCAGCATCCTATATGGGTGCTGATTTGTGTCCCAGCTATTTCACTTCCCTTCCAGCTCCCTGCTTGTGGCCTGGGAAGACAAGGCCCAAAGCCTTGAAACCCTGCCCCCGTGTGGAAGACCTGGAAGAAGCTCCTGGCTCCTGGCTTTGGATCGGCTCAGCTCTGGCCATGGCAACCATTTGGAAAGCGAACCAGAGGATGGAAAATCTTTGTCTCTCCTTCTCTCTGTAAATCAACCTATCCAATAAAAATTTAAAAAATTTTTTTTGTTTAATCTTAGGTTTTTTTCACTTTTTCTGCCCTGTTATAAGTCCAGAGGTTTCTGCTTTTTGTACCTAATTTCCCTCCATGTGTTTCTATTTGCCTCACATCATTATGCATTCCTTCCAAATGCCATGCACAATGCTATGAAGATTGCCTACAGCTTCCCGGAATCATCACACGCAAGGAAATATGGTGAGTCAGCATTCACATTTGTAAGTAAGAACAGCACTGTCACAGAATCAACACTTATGAGCCGAAGTCACACCGTTCCAGTGTCTTCTCCAAGGACCCATGTGATTTCAGCTGCAAGACACACGAACTCTGGAGCAGACCTAATCGTCTGGCTTGCTGACGGCACACCAGCGTTTCCACAATTTTCCAAACTGCAACTTGGAGACAGGACAATCATTGTCTGCTGACTCCTCCTCATCTCTTAACTCAGTAATCCATGGAGATTTACTTTATCAGACGGGACAATGGAAGTAAATGCCACCAGGTCCCATTCACTTCCCCCCATGTACCAAAGTGCCAGAGTTGTCTCCGGGAGGTTGTGAGAGAAAGACAGCAAAGTAGAATAGCACATCTGAACTGGCCTAACATGTGTTTCTGGCTCTTTCCAACACACGTTCTGGGCTTGCCAGAGAGGACTGGGAAAAGGCGCTTTTTTAGTTCTGTGGATGACACTTCATCAACTTTCTCGAAACATACGAGGAAGTTCTATCTGTAATTTAGAAACTAAATAGGGGCAGGTGTTTGGCAGAGTGGCTAAGCTACCACTTAGGATGCCTGCATCCATCCCAGAGTGCCTTGGTTCCAGTCCAGCCCCACGTCCCCCATTCTAGTTTCCTGGGGCTGGGCCAGACCACAGTCAGGAGGACACAACTCAATCCAGGTCTCCCACACAAGTGGCAAAAACCCAAGCACTTGGGCCATTCCCTGCTGCCTCCCAGGATTCACATTAGCAGAAAGCTGGAATTGGAAGCAGACCCAAGACTTGAAGTTAAGCATGCTGACATGGAATGCAGGCATTCCAAGTGGCGTCTTAGCCACTTTGCCAAATACCTCTCCCACCCCAAATGTGTATTTTCCCCCCTGAGGGCTTATTTCCTAAAAGTGATTTTGAATTTTAAAGGATTCAGAACATGGTTACATAAGAACTTCTATAATCAATCTTTGATACCAATGTACGAATTCCTCTGAACAGAAAGATAAGGTTACTACTGCCAAAAAATAAAATTCCCATATAATCTCTCTCCATTCTTTCTCAGAGAGTAAATTTCAAGCATTACCACATGCTACACAAGGCTCAACAGGAAACCCTTCCAATGATTTGTCAGGCTAGAATTCCTGTGCTGCCAATGACACGCTGTTAACTGAATTTAAGTGTTAGTTAAATTCAACTTACTCAGTACAATTGGTAATGCTTTCCAGCACAGAATTAAGTGAACCATGACAGAGAGAAAGACTAAACAGAAAGAGTGGAATATACCTGGACAAAAGCCTAGACTATTAGGCGAAGGACTGTTACAGAACATAGTGAGAGCAAGCTGGACTCGGATGCTTTCAGTAAATCAGTAGCTGTTCACTAAACATGCATCGTAGAGGAGGATGAGAGAGACCAGGATAGGACAAGCTACAGTGAAAGCCTTCCCACCACGTGATGCTGGCTCTACCAGATGTGCTTCTCTGGCAAACTTCCTCAATGTTCTGAGCCTTAGCTTCTCCAACTGCAAAATGGGGACCCTAAGACCCATTCTCAGGACTGATTCTCAGGACTGGATTAAACACTGCAGTTTGAAGGGGATGGCTCCTTGCCTGTGGCATCTTGTGTTGAGAACACTATCCCATAAATGGCAAATGCTCTGTGTTCTTACCTGGAATGGGTCTGTCTTCATCACCCCCAGGCAGAGGCACACCCTTATTCTCTGGCATGTACTTCTTGGTAATGGGTAAGGACATCAGCCGAATGTGATGGATGAGTGAGCGCCAGGCGTGAGGTCCAGAAAGCACTGGCTCAGGTGCTAAGGCGCTAAAAGGCTGAATCACAAAGTAGGCAGTGAGCAAGATTAATCCCAGGGTTACAAGGACCTACAAGGAAAGACAGGAAAGGGATTAATAACATTACCAGCAAAACAAAACACCCTCACACCAAGAAAAAAAAAAGGCCACTTGTGCTATTTCGGATATGCAGTAAAGGACTCTTCTCATCAGGCAGCAATTTACATTCACTTTGGAAATCACTGAGAACTATGAGGACCACAAAGCCCACCAAGTTTCTTTCATGCAGTCAGAGGCTCTATCCAACACTTAAAAAAAATACACACATATATATATATATATATACACATATATACAAAGACAACGTAACCCAATGTACATAGGTTTTACCTATGACAGTTAATAGCATAGTCAAGTTTACCAATAACACAAGATAACAATGTCAATCTGCCTATGGACAAACCAAGGTGCAAATGGTGGGATCGGTCAACAGTTAACATGGAGGAAGAATGGTGAAGTGTCTGCTCAGCCTCAGTGGGGTGCAGCACATTTTTACCTTATACACAGCTATAAGGAGAGGATACTGGGGCGGCCCCCTCTGAGGTTCATTCTTTTCCAGCAGCTGTCTGATAAATTTTTCTATTGCCTTCTCAGACATGCCACACTGATGGCCTGTCTGTCTCACCAAGTCAACAGTCTCTGAGAGTTTGTCATAAATGCTGAGCTCATTGGCAGCAAGATCCATGTCTTCGAATACAAAATCCCTGAGAGAAAGAAAATACAGGTAAAAAGAAAGATGGATTCTTTGCAGTACTCCCTTCTCAAAGTTTGTTTTTTTCAGAACAGTGTTTCTTGGCCACCTGTGGGGAAGGACCCATGGCTTTTATGTTTTTCCCAATCCTACTGCAGAACAATATAGTGAAATACAACAAACACATGGAGACACTGTCAAGTTGCTTTTGTGTGGTACTCGGTGGTGGGCTAGCCACAGGGGACAGAGCAGCACTGACCGCACACCTCTGAGGAGGACTGGTCTGGGGCAAATCCCTAATGGATGTCTGATGGCATCCAGAAACACTCCTGAAATCAACCAAAATATCTGCCACTGGTCACTGACGAAGAAGAAGGGAGATGTGAACAGTGCTGTTGACAAATAACTTCTCTCCAATTATATCAGGCGGATCTTTTAGCAACATAAGAGGAGTGGTCACTCAGAGTAAGGTTCACTATGAGGAATATGCTGCTAAGCTTCATTCCTGGCAAAAGAGAGATTTCAGACAACATAAAAATTATAGCACAGGAGTTTCTCAGATCTTAACAGTTTGCTGTCCCCATGCTTTCCCCACAAATGCAACTTGAAAACTATGAAGGATAGTATTGTTTTATATATTTAAAGGTTTAAGATATTTTAAAACAAAGATCTAAGACCTATAATTTTAGAATTTGATTTGGGTTCTCATAGTTACTTCATAGTATTTCATAAAATAAAAGAACTAAAGTGGCAGGGCCAGCAGGTTGGTGTGGCAGGCAAAGATGACTTTTGCCTGTGGTCCAGGCATCCCATATCGGCATAAGTTCCAGCCTGGTTGCTCCACTTCTGATCCTGCTCCCTGCTAATGTGCATGGGAAAGCAGCAGAAGATAGCCCAAGTGCTTGAGACCCTGCACCCATGTGGGAGACCCAGAAGAAACTCCTGGTTCTTGATAGGATTGGCTTAGTCCGGCCATTTCAGCCATTTGGAAAGTGAGTCAGTGGAGGAAAGATATCTACTTCTCTCTGCCTCTCCCTCCCTCTCTCTTTGTAACTGACTTTCAAGTAAAAATTAAAAAAAAAAATTTTTAAAGAAGTGGCAAATTATCATTTGGAAAATGAGAACTCTTGCTTGTGCTGGGATAGCCATTCGGCCTACTTGCTGTGGGATGCTGGTAAGGATTCTCTTGTTTGATATCCAACAAGCATTTGGGTTTGATTCCCAGCTCTGTTCCTGATCCCAGCTCCCTGCTAATGGAGATGCTGAGAGGAGTCAGACACTTAGACTGGAACCCTGCATCAACTTCCTGGCTCTCAGCTGCAACCTGGCCAGACGCTAGCAGCTGGAGGCAACAGGGGAGTAAATCAGTGGATGGTAGTTTTGTTATCTGTATCTCTGCCTCTTGAATTTAAAAAAAAAAAAAGTAGGGTGTGGTGCAATGACTCTATTGGATGATCCTCCCCTTGCAAGTGTCAGGATCCCAAATGAGCACCAGTTCATGTCCCGGCTGTTCCACTTCCCATCCAGCTCCCTGCTTATGGCCTGGGAAAGTGGTAGAGAATGGTCCAAAGCCTTGGGACTCTGCAAGTACGTGGGAGACCTGGAACAATATCCTGGCTCCTGGCTCTTGGCCTTGGACTGGCTCAGCTCCAGTCTTTGTGGACATTTGGGAAGTGAACTAGTGGATGGGAGATCTTTGTCTCTCTTCGTCTCTATAAATCTGCTTTTCCAATAAGAGACATAATCTCAAAAAAAAAAAGTAATAATGATTTCTTCATACAGAACACTATTTTTCTTCATAAAGAAACAATGGTGCTTACAATTTCTGCTTTCTTCTTCTGTTTTTCTTTTTTTAAGGCAGAAGGTCCTCTTATCTCATATACTTCATTCCCAAAGTGCTTCTAACCTCACAAAGCACTGACATGGTACAAACATACCCTTTCAGTAAGAGGATGCTGCCACCTGTAGGATAGAGGACACCATCAAGTCACTACAAGAGAATCTGAAACGCCACAACCCAGTGTGCATCAGTGTTTCTCTTCTTCTTCAGTAAAACAAAAATGCTTAGTTCACCAGTGATGGGAACATGAAATGGGCAGCCGCTGTCAAAAAGTTGGTGTTACCTTAGAACACAGTAGTTCTACTCCCAGGAACGCACCCAGAGAACTGGGAATGACATCCACACAAAACCTTATACTCAAATGTTAATAGCTACATTATTCATAACAGCCCAAGATGGAAGCAGTTCTAAAGTCCACACACTGATGAGTGAGTAAATGAAAATGTGGTGCATCTGTATTCTGTGATGGAATATTCTGGAAAATGCAAAGGATGAAGTAATGACACAGGGAATAGCATGGATGAACCTTGATAACACTATGCTAACTGAAAGAAGGTCACTACCAAAGACTCTAGGTTATGATTACATTTGTACCAAAAAAACCCAAGAATGGGCAAATCTACAGAGTAGGAGGATTAATCAGTGGTTGCCTAGTGACTGTAACAGGAAAGTGGGTCAAAACCCACTAAACTGCGCATTCTAAAAAGCACCTTTTTTTTTTACTTATTTGAAAGGCAGAGAGACAGGGGTTTATTTTTCCATCTACTGGTTCTCTCCACAAATGCCTGTAACAACTAGGGCTGAGCCGGATCAAGGTTAGGAACAAGGTTCTAAACACGTTTCAGCAGCTGGGAGGGAGCCAGGTGCCAAGGATCGTCTGCCTCCTAGGGTAAGCATTATTTTGTAAAGATTTATGTATTTATTTCAAGGCAGAGTGACAGAAGGAGGGAGAGCATCTTCTATTTGCTGGTTCACCTCCAAATGCCAGCTTGGCTAGGGTTGAAGCCAAGAGCCCAGAACTCCATGTGGGTCTCCCACATGGGTGGCAGGGACACCAGCATCTGAGCCATTACCTGCTGCCTTCCCAGTTGCATCAGCAGAGAGCTGAGTCAGATGCAGAGGTGGGGCCTGAAGCAGGAACTCTGAGAGCAGCTTAACTTACAATGCCACAACACTAATCACAAATTGTACATTTTTTTTAAAGATTTATTTTTATTATTATTTTTTTTAATGGGAAAGGCGGATATACAGAGAGGAGAGACAGAGAGGAAGATCTTCCGTCCAATGATTCACTCCCCAAGTGAGCGCAACGGGCCGATGCTATGCCGATCTGAAGCCAGGAGCCTCTTCCAGGTCTCCCACACGGGTGCAGGGTCCCAAAGCTTTGGGCCGTCCTCGACTGCTTTCCCGGGCCACGGGCAGGGAGCCGGAAGGGAAGCGGGGCTGCCGGGATTAGAACCGGCGCCCATATGGATCCCGGGCGTGCAAGGCGAGGACCTTTAACCACTGCGCCACCGTGCCGGGCCAGATTGTACATTTTAAATCGGCCAACTTCTTGGCATGCAAATTATACCTTTTAGGGCCAGGCACGGTAGCCTAGTGGCTAAAGCCCTTATCTTGTAACCATTGGAATCCCATATGGGTGCCAGTTCCACCTCCCATCCAGCTCCCTGCTTGTGGCCTGGGAAAGCAGTTGGGGACGGCCCAAAGCCTTGGGACCCTGCACCTGCGTGTTAGACTCAGAAGAGCCTCCTCACTCCTGGCATTGGATTGACTCAGCTTTGGCTGTTGTGGCCAGTTAGGGAGTAAACCAGTGGATGGAAGATCTTTCTGTCTCTCCTCTCTGTAAAATCTGACTTTCCAAAAAAAAAAAAAAAAAACAAATCTTTTTTTAAAAAAGAAGTTTTTAAAATATGTATTTATAGAATGAAAATGTGCTCTCTTGTGGCATTTATTATATTACATTTTCTATTTCCATCCCTCCCAGGGCCTAACCACTGGACTCTAAGGTATGAGAGCAGGAAATACCATACGTACTGTTACTATGATATATATATGTATATGTATGTATATGTATATATGTCTTCTATATATGTAGAGGGTATCTGCATATACTTGTTAACAAAGACTGATAAACTGTGTGTGTGTGTGTGTGTGTGTGTGCGTGTGAAGGGGGATGAACTTCATAACAGAACACGATTCTTTCAGAGTCCATCTGTAGAAGATTCCTTCCAATACTGACTTTCTGGAAGCCTGTGCTTAACTTACCACCCTGGTTAGTATATATAGAGCAGGACGATCATTTCAGGCTGCGCAGGCCAAATGCCTTCATTTCCAGATGGAGGAATAACCCCATCCATCTCCTGAGCTTCGTCTGTATCCTACTCACTCCACTCATTCTTTACTAGCAACCAGGAAGAAAGGCTGCAAGGCATAAAGAGCCATACTTAAAAAAAATTAACATGCAGCATCTCCATTAATAGGTCAGCAGTAGATCAGCTCAGAGAGGTGAGATTAGACATGATTATTTCCTTTTCCATATTTCCTAGACTTCTGTATTAATTTTATGATCACAAAAAATCCCACCGATACTCTTAAAGAACAGCAGGGCACAAGGTGAGTCCGAGCAACGCAACGATGAATGGCTATGGCTATGGCACCGCAGGGAAGAAGCAAAGCACTCCTTGCTGCCCATGCCGGAAGTGACTTTTTAGTTCCCCATTGGGTTGGATTTGAAATGACACAGCTGGGAAAATGGAAGCGACACTGCACCAGCAGAGGAGAGGCCTGAGTCTTAGGCTAAGTCTTGACAATCTCCAGTCAAATATTTTGGTTTTATTTATTTCTGTAAAAGACAGATTCTTCACTTTACAAATATGTATATATCTAGAGTTGGGGGGAAAAGCTGAAGCCCAATGCCAAGAGTTGGCATCCAACCCAGGTCTCTTGTGTGGGTGGCAGGGACCCAATTCTGAGCCATTACTGCTCCCCCCGCCCCTCCCCAGGGTCTGCATTAGCAGGAAGCTTGAGTCAGGAACCAAAGGCAGGGATTGAACCTGGATACTCTGATATGGGGGTATGGGTGTCTTAACCAGTCTTACCTGCGAGGCTAAGCATTTGTTCCTAAGTGAAATCATTCTGGCTAAGTCTATCTCCTCTTCCAAAAATAAGATGATTGGACACAAGGTCTTTAAAGCCTCCTTCTGCTCTGAGATTCACAAAGTCTGTGAAGCCGTCAGGAAGGGGAAAACCCAATTCATGAGGAACTGAAGACTAACAGCCAACCGCATTCCTTTACTACCACTTTCTGTTCCTCTGTGCTCAGTATACCAGAAACGTCATGTCAACAAACAGCCACCGAGATCCCACTTGTGTGATTCATTCATTCCATTTCACAGACTCTCCGAAAGCTTCTGTCACTTGTCGAGACAGGAACCCAAGCGTATCTGACTTGAGGGTTGCTGCTTTCTCCTCATTCATGCTGCCTTCCTGGCCAAGCACTGTTCTCCATTCCAAGCCGCCAGTTCCAAGAACAGAGCACACCCCCCCCACCCCATCACGATTGAGTGCCCAGGGACTGGAAATGACTCAGCATAGCAATCCCTGAGAAAAGAGCCTGGCGACGGCTTCTTACAGGATTTTTTGCAACTTCATGTTTTGGACAGTGATTTCAGAGCTAGTATTTCCTGTTTAAACTGGAAGACATTTTGATGGCCACAGAGAGACGATCTGGGTGACTATGTTAAACTAATATATTTAAAAAGTGGCCCCCTTTAAAAAACAAACAGAAAAACAAACACAGAAGCACAACTAAGCAACCAGCGTGAGAGGCTGAGTGACAGTCGGTCAGTCACTGAAGGGGATCCATTTACCTCCAGAAAGAGCGTCCAACTCTGGCAGAAATGAGCTTTACCACAGAGGGGCGTTCAGAGGAGTGGCTTACACCCGCAAGGGCACAGGCAGGATCACTACATGGATAGAAATCAAGTATCATGCACCACCCTGGGCCTCCTGTGGTCCTCCCACCCCTCACTCACCTGGAATTCAAGACCCCAGTGGATGCCTGAAACCACGGCAAGTACCACCCCCCCACACACATATTATGTATTTTTACATATATAAGCCTATGATAAAAGGTTAACTTATAAATTAGGCACATTAAGAGATTAATAGCTAATAATACATTGTAACACAACAGAATAATAGAAGTTATGGAAATCTGGTTTCTCTTTCCAAAGTATCTTGTGCACTGTACTCACCCTTCCTCCTGCGGTGATGTGAGCTGATGCAATGTCCATGTGATGAGATGAAGTAAGGTGAATGACGCAGACATTGTGACAGTGTCAGGCTAGCACATAAGGGTTACCTACCTAACGTCCTGCAGTGGCAGGACAGTTCAGCTGATGACTGAGACAGCTACTAAGTGACTAAAGGACAGGGGGTGGATACAGTGCGGATACTGTGGGCAAAGGGATGGTGCACCTGCTTGGCAGGGATTCAGCTTAAGACTGAGGGATTCCGTGCTGCTTCAAGTGTCTATGTAATGTTTTCAGACTGCAGCTGACCATGGAAAACTGAAAGAGGACAAGGCAAGAGGTGCAGGCACAGAGGTTATCAACCCTATTCTCAACCCTCAGAATGGGAGCCACTGGTTTTTCTCAAGAGTAGTTCTCAAGTCCGGGCTACTTCTCTCCCTGGATGATACCTGACAATGTCTGCAAGATGCTTTTGGTGTCCGATTTTTTTCAAAACTGGCATCTGGAGGGCAAAGACTAGACATCCTGCAGGGGAGGGGATAGCCAATGCCAATGAATAACTGTCTCAATCAAAATGCTACAAGTGCCTAATTGCAAAAACTGCTTTCTGGAGAGGCCTGAGCCAGGGAGACCTGACAGCTTTTCATTTCTGAAGGAGAAGTTCTGTCTAGGAGAATGCAACTGCCCTAATGGTGTGGTCCTCACATCCCCTTCCTAGTCTCAGCCTAAGAAACAAGGAAGTGGTCCAGCTGATAGAATAACTGGAACAGATCTGACCAATACAAATGTCTGTTTAAAATAGTAAATAGATGGGTCCGGTGCGACGGCTCAATGGCCTAATCCTACCCCTTCAAGCATCAGGATCCCATTCATGTCCTGAACGCTCCAGTTCCCTTCCAGATCCTGCCTGTGGCCTAGGAAAGCAGAAGAGTATGGCCCAAAGCCATGAGACCCTGTACTCTTGCAGGAGACCCAGAGGAGGCTCCTGGCTCTTGATCAGCTCAGCTCCTGCCACTGCAGCCATTTGGAGAGTGAGACAGCAAATGGAAGATCTTCCACTCTCTCTTCTCTCTGTAAATCTGCCCTTCCAATAAAAATTAGTAAACCTTTTTAAAAAAAGGAGCAAATAGACCAAGGGTCAGACTAAATGTAAACTGTGCAGTAAGAGGATCAACCCCTGTACCGATAAGTGTCCTGAACACTGATGGCATAACCCCGGAGGTTCATGCCCCTTGATGTTTATTTTTTACTACGGCATAAGAAATGTATTTTCCCTCTTTAGTAAAAAAAAAAAAAAAAAAAAAAAGTCTTTTAAATTAAAGGGACTCACAGGATAGCATAGAATGCATTCATAACAACAGGAGATGGACACTGTACTACATAGCTAGCGTTACACAAAGGAGTTAAGTAGGGGGAAGGGTGTGACCTGACTCTGGATCTCATTCCTGCACTTGAAGATTGGGACGTGTGCAGATGAGCAAGAGTTGTGGCATAGCATACTAAGCCTCCATCTGTGCCGGCATCCCAAATGATTAATGTCTAGCTGTTCCACTTGCAATTCAGATCTCTGTTCGTGGCCCGGGAAAGCAGCAGAGGATGGCTTGGGCCCCTGTATCATGTGGAAGACCTGCAGGAATCACCTTACGCCTGGTTTCAGATTGATCTAGCTCCATCCATTGCAGGTATTTGGGGAGTGAACCAGCAGATTGAAGATCTTTGTCCCTCTGTATCTTCTAACTGCCTTTCAGATAAAAATAAAAAATAAATCTTAAAAAATAACTAGTAAGGTGTTTGTCTCAGGACAGGGTGTCTCATGCCTGGATCTCAGACGCCAGCCACCATGTGCATGTGGTGAGCTGTCCCCGGGCGGCCAGTATGCCATCTGGCGCCAGGCTCTGCCTGCTGGCCGCTTGGCCTGTACCTTCGGGGTTTAGGTTCTTTGAATCGCTGCTTACGTAGCTCCAGGTTGAACCCATTGTGCTTCTAGGACGTGAATCAATCCTAAAGATTCCCAATGACAGTAACTCTCCTTTGAAGAACTTGTAATCACTTGAACAATGCTGACCACCAAATACCAGTCCATGCAAAAGCTATGGCTCGGGGCTTGTCCAGCAGAATCATATCCTGTTACCTGACATGATGATGGATCAGGAGAAGGGTCACATTAAGCAGGGCCATTACATTAACTAGCACTTGAGAACCATATCCGGGGGTAGATTCTGTGAGGGATGTGTGGGCCAAACTCCATGGAAATTCTAGCCTCACTGGTTAGCTCAACAGTTTGGGTGGTGATGGACTATGCTAGGTATGACCAAGGAGCCTGCCATCAATCATAGGTAAAGGAACCTGCAACAGTCTGGACTGGTCAAGGCAGCAGCACCCGAATGTGCATCCTGAATAGGGTGTGGGGTGTAATGGGCTACAACGTCTACCAGCTCATACAAGGCCAAATGGAAGGCCAGACTCTGCCAGAACCTGGCCTAAACCCAATGGCATGTATGAGAACTGGGTCTGGGAGTGGATTAAGTGGAGGAACTTGGGAAACTCCCTTGGCGAGTCATAGTTCCCACTGGTGAACATGTGGTCCAGACCTGGGGGTCGGACAAGCTGGGCAAAGTAGCTTCAACAGCTGGCTAATGTGTTAATTGGTAATGGAAGAGGGTGGACTGGGCAGGACTGAGCAAACCTTAGTCCACAGGTGAAACTAGAGACCAGGATGGAGCAAAGGTCATGCCAAGCTAGGCTCTTGTACCTACTGGTCAGCATGAGCCAGGAACGCTAAGCCACACTGTCTAAGGCAAAGGCCGGGACAGGTGAGGGGCTGTGCCAAGCTGAGTCAGAGCAACCACTGGCATGCGTGTGATCTACGGCTGGGAACAGGCCTGGTTGGGGGGCCAAGGGGACAACCCTAGCTGGGCTGAGGTTCCCACCAAGGGGCGTGTGGGCTGGAATGGGGGCTTTGCTCTGATCAGGAAATGGTAGTAGTCTCCCTTGGCACAAGTATGGACAGAGCCGGGCCAGACTCCAACACCCTCTGGTGTCCTGGAGGACCAGGGTAGATGTGGGATGGACTAGGTAAGGTCTCAACCCCTACTGAGCCATGTGTCAGCCATATGTGGGTACAGACAAGCCATAGCTGGGCTGAAACACCCAACAGCAAGGACCAGATTGAGTTGAAGCCAGTCAGGAAAAGCCACTGTTCCTGCTAGGACAGGAGGTGAACTGGGTAGCACTGGCTCATGGACCCACTTGTATGTGCAAAATCTGGCATTGGGAGAGGTTCTGATGGAGGAACCTGGGCAACTCCTCTGGCAGGACACAGACCCGGCAGGTAAGCGCAAGAAACATGACAGGAAACAGCCCAGAACAGGCCATGGAAAGTTACCCACTGGCATACATCTGGCAGGGGTCAGGGGAAGACCAGGCTGAATCTGTTCATACCATCCACTGGCAAATCCAAGAACAGTGTGGGTCAAGTCGGGTTTGGTCGCAACAAAAGCTAATGCACAATACGGAATGCCAAGGTGAGGCTGCCTGTACTGGATGTGACCGCAGCGCCCAACCAGCACGCGTGAGAACAAGAAAGGGAAGGGGCAGAGCTGGCAGGGGGAATAAAGGAGGGTCCCCTTGCCAGACAGCTACTCCCACTGGAGAGCATGAACTGGGATGGGGGCAAACCAGACTAAGCAGGGCTACAACACCTGTGCACCTCATGTGGACTAGATCAGGGAAAAGCCAGGCTGGGCTGATTATTCCTACTGGTGCAAGCATAAATTAGAGTATGTGAGGGTTGTTTGGGCTTAGCCACAGCATCAGCTGGCAGAAGCTGGCACTAGGGGCTAGTTCTGTCAAGTCAAACCACAGAACTACCTGGAGAGTGTATAATCCGGGAGTGGGAGAGGCCTGGGAGGGAAATAGTGGACTCCTCTCTCTTGGGTTACCACTTCCACGGGAGGGCATGAAAACTAGGACAGGGGCTGGGGTGGAATGGGATGTGGGACAGACTGGATTACTGCTACACATACTGGCAAACCAGGGTAGGGGGCGGGCCTGGTGGGGATTATTGCGGGTCGCTCCAACTAAGCTGCAGCTCCCACTGGTTTATGTGCTGGGCAGAACCAGGCTGCACTGCAACACCCAATGGTACCAGTGGAAGTCAGGGCTGAAAACAGAACCAACCCAGCCATTGCAACCACCACTTGATCATGGCGATGGACTGTGCTGGGGCCTGTACTTGCTAGTACATACAAGAATCTGGTCTGGGAACACCTCAGACAAAGTTTCTTTGGAGATCTCCCCAATCGAAATGTTGGACTCAGAACCCTAACCAAGAAGAGAGAGAAGATAGAACAGGTCAATCAACCATCTCACCTATATGTTGACAGCGAAATACGGGGCAAACGGAGACTCTATGATGGACTATGTCAATCAGTGGATTCTTCAATGACCCCATAGTGTTTGGAGTGGCAAGATTGGCAGCGATTCATAACGGGTGAACTATTAAAACCACTTGAGCAAGAACCTCAGAGCATACCCTACAACCGGGACCTGGGGAGTGTGGGAAATTGGGTGGGCCTTCTCCCTTAATACCCCCTTTAAACATGAAGGAAACAATATGGAAATAATAGTCTTACCTATTCTCCTATAGCCATTGAACCTTTTTACCCTAACTAACTATGTAAAGATTGTAAAAAAAAAAATAATAATAAAACCCATTGAAATTCTAAGGCTTTGACCTTGAATTCTTCCTTTTAACAACATACAACTCTACCACCTAGTATGATCTACCTCCTTATCTTCTACACTAAAGTTTCTCGCAAGCAAAGATACATGGAGAAAGTAACAACACAAGAAACTAATCAGACATGAAAGCCATCTCAGTATAAAATCTGATTAAGGTGGACAAACTTACACACAGGCACTCAAGTGATCTCACTGAAGCCAACATACAGGCTTTTATATTTTACGTAAAATATTTGAATGCCATCAGCCTGATGGGAGTTCAGGTGAGCCAGTGAGGAATCCAGCACTTGAACATGTCTTCCATGTGTAGGGACCAGGATGCAAACCTGGCCCTGAAAGAACGTAGTCCAAGAACAGAAAAGGGCTGCCAGGACTAACAATTGGGCCATGCAAACCTCCTGTCACTTCAATACAGCGAAGCTGAATCAATCAACTCCTAAAAGACCATGTCTTTCCTTAGCAGGGAAACTTCAACACCTTGGATGAAAAGAAATGAATTTATTAAAGCAGAGCCCTCTGCAGAAAATTCTAAAAGAACTATCAAATGAGCAGAGAAGCCGGAATATTATGTATCTGGGAGTACGACCTATCCAAAGGTGAGGCAGGGTCCTAGCATCTTTGGAAAGACATTTTCGAACACCAGGACAATGCAGCAAAAGGGTGACCTCCAGGGTTAATAATGTCAAAAGGACAGAGGACACAAGATGGGGGTGGGGGCATTTCCTTGTAGTAAAAGGTGACTACAAACGCCTCATTTACTCCTGTCAAC